GATTCTGTAGTTACTCATTTTCCTTCACTTGTAGTTCGAACCCTTCAGCTAAAAATTAAACCCCTTCAAAAACTGTAACTGGATCTTCTGATACCATGATGACAGCTTTAGATTTTTTCCATTGACTGTTAATGATGTTCCCGGGGATCGGTGCACTAGATACTAAGTTATATCAGGTTTGGTAAGAGTCTAAATTAAGTCGTACCTTGAGGCCCAAAACCTTGTGGAATAAGGAAGGGTTTTGAGGCCTATTCAGGGGTCCTATTTATTTCCATTTATGCGTGAGCCGATTAAGTGGGCTTGAAAGACTAGTCAAGTCGGCCCTCGGTGATGAGTAGAGACGACTTGACCTAGCCCTATATAAGCTTAAGGCCCTGCTCTCATCATACACGTTTTCTAAACCTATTCTCATCATAAAGAGAGAGCTGAAACAGATTCTGAGAAAGAGCAGAAGTCTTGAGCCGTTCCTGTGCTTGCTACGGATTGGATGAGTTCAGAGGCTGTGTACTCAAGGAAGATGGCTCCAGGTATGTCTTCATGTCTTTATACGTATTACGTATTTGTGTGAAAGATCTAGATTGCATAATAAAGAAATCTAACAGAAAATTCTCAAAATATTTCACAACTTGGCGCACGTCGTTTGCAACAATACTCTCCCTCAGTAATTGTTGCATATGTGAATAGCTACGTTCCTTTCCTTCTCCCCAGAACTTTTTCCAAACTACCGGTTTCGAAAATCAAAGCTAGTGCTTCACTAGCAGCCACACGGACTAATTTATCATCATGCTTTAACAACAGGGTTGAGAAGTAATCCATGGCTCCATTCCAGTTGTTGTGTCTGAGTCTCCATCCTTCCACGCTCGTAAGTAGAAACAACCAAGCATTTATTGCAGCAACTAGGACCGCCGCCGAATGCTTTTCTTCATTTGCATCAGATTGATCAGCATGAATGAACTTCCATATAATTTGCATTGCATTTTGAATATCCTCTGAGTTGGTTGCACCAAAAAAAGCCAGTCTCTGTACAAACAATCTAATACCTTCACTGCCGTGGTTCCAGATTTCGGAGCTTTAGAAAGTACCGGAAGCAACTCTCTGTACACTTCAGACACTTTATCCTCATAGCCAATGATCATGGCAAGCAACCCTACGAGATGAAGTGATAGCTGCTTCTCCTTGGAGGAACCCTTTTTGAAGGAATTCAAGCCCCTACATAAAAAACTTGAAAAATTCTTTTCTAGAAATTCATGCTCTAATCTGCTATTTAACACCCCAATTATTACTACCTTCTTGTACTTTGTAATTGCATATTTTCTTACTTTTCCTCTTTTTTTTTGGTTGTCACGCTCACGATATATTTCATGTGCTCATGCAATAAATCCAAACCTATAGCCGCTGGTGCCATTACTGCTACGGGCCAACATTATCCATAGCATCGCATGGACTGATGGTGGGATGATTTTATTAAGAGTTGGGAAAGCAACTAATTTTCACCTAAAATTCACAGGACGAATGTGACAAGCACCAACCAAGCAACCCTGATAATCAAACAAAGGGGACGTAGAACTTACTCTTTTTCATATATACACTAATTCCTAACCATATTTGACTATATGTAGGGCATGTCTTCTCTCTTCGGGTTGCCGCTGGAGCCATAGTTTGTATGAGCTTCTTGTGTTTGTCTCTTTCTAGGCTTTCAATTGCTTTGGTATAAGGCGGTAGATAAAATGATTTTTACAGCTAAATCTACGTTTTGTTTTTGTGTCCGGTACAGCAAGTGGAACCAGATCAGCCATGCTAGGAGGTAAACAGCTTTCGTCTCGTCTGATCAGCAAGCTACAGGAAGTTGCACAAAGCCTGTCCACAAGTGCTCCATCTTTTTGTAATTGTTGCATGGACTTACGAGAGCCTGCCGTAATTAGCCATGGACAGCGAGAATCATAATCCAAGAAGACGGTTCAGAAAGTGGTTCAAAGGAAAGCACAAGAGAGCTGACCCTTATCAACTGAGTCAAGTTTCAGGTTTTGTTATTTCTACCTGTGGAGACTTCTTTTCTTCTTCTTCTTCCTCCTCGTCTTCTGTCCATAGCATTCGATCCAGACTCAATTGTTTGTTTGATTACTGGATTTTTTTCTCTTCTGATGGGGGTGAAGACGAAACTGAAGATACTTGGATGATATTCTCTTTCAGTCCATGGAGATGGATCCATGCACTTCAACTAATGAGTTGAGGTAATTTGTTAAAAGAAGAAAAAATCTCAAAGGGAATTAAGCATAATGGATTTTAACACATTGGTATATATTTTTCAGAGTCTTTGTGGGGACTTGGAATGTTGCTGGAAGGTCTCCCATAGGAAGCTTGGCGGTGGATTTGGATGAGTGGTTGAATCTTAAGGATGCGGCAGACATGTATGTTCTTGGGTATGTTATAAACCTGGACTTCATTAATAGTGTTCATAATTTCTTAATTTTTTCTCTAATTGATATGAGAAATTAATATAAACCAATGCCACAACTTAGCAATTTAGCTTGCAGATTTCAGGAGATTGTGCCTTTGAAGACCCGAAATGTACTCGGAGCAGAAGACCCAACCGAAGCAAGAAATTGGAACCTGCTGATAGG